AAGAGAGTTATTAACGATCAAACATTCGATACATTTTTTTTGGGACACCCTGTGTAGAGATTGGCGACTTAAAGGGCACAAGTCGTGAGATGCCATGCATGGTGTGTAGTAGCATATCAAGTTGCAAAATACTCGACTACTTAGAAGGAGATCGCGGAATTCCTAGTTTATTTTTTTTTTGTGGGACCTGGTCTGAGTTTTGGGAGAGTCAAAGAGGGCTGAAGAAAGCATTGGTGATGAGTGCTCCCGAAAGAGTAGTACTATGTTTGAAAGTCCCGCCTCGTGTTTTATGATAGCAAAATTTAAGTGCAATCCAGGGAACTGGGAAGTTCTCCGTCATGAAAATGTCTCTTGTTTCTGTTGTTCTCAGTGTTAAACGCGTTGATTTTTAGGTATGCTGCTTCGGGTCTTGTTTGATCTGTTTTCTTTCCAAAATGTATGCTTGTTTGGACTTACTGTCACAACAATGGCTTGCGGTGCGCTATTTTTGTAAGTGCACAGCTTATGTCTTTCTTCATGACTCAAAGGAGTTTTTAAGACTGTCTTCGATTGTGCCATGGCCCAAACGAAAACGAAGCGATTTCATTGCGCCAACAAAAACATATGCTGGCAAGGATGAGGGAGTAAGGTTTGTTATTGGCTACAGTTTCCTTTCTCGGTCAATTATTGCTGGATATTCTAGCTTGAACAATCTATTGCGTGAAGATCCGAGGGAAAAGCCTCTCTATACCGAATCTTCTTTGTATCTCAGCGTTGTGATCCCATCAATGAATGAAGAGGTGAGCACAGTACACGTTCATTGCAGTATTTTGAGAGTAGCTTTAGGAACGTTTGCCAAAGATGTTGGATGAGTGCTTGGATTACCTGCTGAAAAGAAAGAAAGATGAGGAGGAATTCAGCTTTGAAGTATGTACCTCTACCAGTATTTTTTCTAGCAGCGAGAAGGTCCTTTGCGCGTGAGGATTGTAGGCTAAGGCTTAGTTCATACTAATCCCTAAGTTCGGAAACAGTCCCAGCACAGCTTTGCCAGCGAGCGCTGTGCTGGAACTGTTCCGGAACTAATGGATCGGTATGAACAGCCTAGATAGTGGTTCAAAATTCAGCTTGATGTGGTGTGAATGGTTTCCCTTTAACTTTTCTGTCAAAATGGACTCTGTTTTTAACCCTTCTAGCGCGAAATAGAGATCAGATTTAGTTAATTAGTAGAAGCAGGGTATACCTTTCACGAAGAATGTCTAGATTACGGATATTCGCTAGCCACTGCACAAATGGCAGGAAGTTGAAAAAAGGTTCGTAAAAGCATTGTTCCACTGCGTGCAGAATGAAGAAATTAACTCACTATTGCAATTTATCTATTTTATTGTTTTTTTTTCGGAATTCTCTGACTTATATGTGCTATTTTTTGTTCCTCCATGATTTCTTTTATATTCTCTCTGTTAGTTAAAGGCAAAAGGGGCAGGCAAGGTCGGCGAGTCGTTGCTCGCACAAACAAGGCGCCATTGAAAATGCGAGCTTTTGAGCGCTCTTGCTTCCTGTTTTACCAGCTACTGTCTTTTTATAAAAAATTGTTTTACAAGGTAAGGATGGTTGAAGATGCAAATTGTACCATCAGGGCACGCTAATTGAAGAACCATCTTTCTAATTTGTGGAGATGTTCTGGACAGAATTGGGTATTTATTGTGGCAAAAGAATGCGCATTAGAAAATCACTTACTAAAAAACTTTCCCAGCCCTTGAATGAAGCAGTAGAGGTGGAAATATCTTACCTGAGAGTGACCAACTCTTTAAAGTCTGACAAATATCCTGCTCCTTACCTGAGAGTGACCAACTCTTTAAGGTCTGACAAATATCCTGCTCCGGTTAAGCGCTAGGTAAAAT